GCGCCGCTGTGCGCGCTGGCGCTGCACGTGGCGCAGCTGCGGCCGCACACGTCCGAGTCGCTGCTGGTGCTGCGCGGCCTGGGCGTGCAGACGCGGTCGCAGGGGCCCGGGTACCTGTTCTCGTCGCGACTGCTGCCGTTTGGGCCCGCGGGCGGCAGTGGCGGTGGTGGCGGTGGCGGTGGTGGTGGTGGTGGGGGTGGTGGGCGTCGATTCATCCCCGTCGACAAGGTGCGCGACGTGCTCATCAACGAGGCCTTTCTGGGCTTCGAGGTGCGCTACTATCTGGTCATTGTCGTCGAGGGCGAGGAGGAGCTGGTCGTTGTGTTCCCGCGCCTGCTGCCGGGCCGCCGCACCGTCGAGGCCGTCTGGCGTGGCGTCCGTGGGTGTCTGTACGAGCCTGAGCCGGGGCGCAGGGTGGACGGGAAGGGGTGAGGGAGCCATCTTTCTCGTTTGCCGTTTATGCTTGGAGGGGCAGCGTTGATTAGCTGCGGAGAGCTTAGAGGTTACATCTGGGTCCTCTCCAGGCTCATTAATACGAATCGTCACCACCTTGTCGACGTTTTTGACCCTCGAGTCTTTGCTCCTCTTCGATTTATTTTTCTCTTTATCTTATCTATAGTGTATAACCTAATGCGCCATATGCTAAGCTCTGCTATGGACCACCCACTGCCGCCGCCTCCGCAGCCGCCAGCTTGCGCGCCTTAATAACGCTCCTCCAGTTCTCAGTCCCGGCCAGCTCCGCCGCGCTGGCGAAGCCCTTGCTCTGTGCCCACTTGTCGTTGACGTCCTCGGGCGTCGCCTGCATCTGCCTCTTTGCTAGCGGCGTGTACGTCCCTATCAGGTGGGATCCGTCGCCCCCCTCGAAGGCCTTTGTGCCACGCTGCTGCTGCTGCTTCTGCTTCTGCTTTGCCTTCCTGTCCGAGCCGCCGCCCTTCAGCGCCGCCGCGGCGTCCACAGCCGCCGCTGACGCGGCCACGGCGCGCACGGGGTCCGTCAGCGTCGTGACGTGGTCGAGGAGTCGGTTCGCCAGCAGCTCGTCCATCTTGCGCCCGCGCCAGACCTCCCACAGGCCGTCGACGAGCCCCTTGGGCCCGTGCAGGTCGACGGGGTCGCCGTCCTCGCCCGCGTAGACCCAGTCCAGGTCCGGGCCCGGCTCGACCGCCTCCGAGGACGTGGCGCCGCCCTCAGCTCCCGGCGGCGGCCGGCCGAATAGGCAGTCCCACAGAACGAGGGGCGCGTCCGAGGCCAGGTGGTAGTTGGGCCTGCCCGGGTACCGCGACACGTCCAGCAGGTCTGCCACGACCGACGGCTTCTCGAGCCCCTGGCCGACCAGGAAGAGCACGGCGACCATGTGGCGGATCTGGTGCCACAGGAAGGCGGTGCCGCGCACGTGGAAGTAGTACACCCTGGGCCTCGGCGGGTCCACCGCTAAGCTGTCGCCATTACCGTCCTGTCCGGGCAGGAACTCGGGCCGGTCTAGGTACGGCAACGCCGAGGTGGTGTCAGGCACCTCGACGATGTCGGCCTCGAGCACGCGTCGCTCAAAGTTGCCGATCTGCTTGCTGGCGTCGATCTTGCAAAAGTTGCGGAAGTCGTGCGAGCCCTCAAAGTGCCGCGCCGCCTCCCGCATGGCCTCGATGCCGAGGTAGCCGTCCTTGACGCGGCGGCCGCCGCTGCCGGCGGACGAGGAGGGATGATGGGCTCCCTCCAAGACCGCCGGTGCGGGCGCGAACGCGGGCTGCGTGAAGAAGTAGCGGTACTGGCGCTCGCGGCACGAGAAGCGCGCCGAGAAGCCCGGCGGCGGCGTTGGGCACCAGGCGAGCGCGCGGATGTCTGGCGGTAGTGTGCGGTTCAGGAGCTTGCAGTACTTGATTTCGTCGGCGACGGGGTACGGCGTTTCGTCGCTATCGTCGTCGTCGTCGTCGTCGTCTTCTTGCCGCCTTCCCTCCTCTCCTGTGGCCTCGGGCGCCTCCAGCTCGGCAGCAGCAGCGACGGCAGCCCCATCGCCCGCCTCGGCTGATGATCCGGCGGCATGTTGCTGCTGCTGCTGCTTCCTGGCCCTCGGCACGGGACGGTTGCTGCGGACGCGCAGGGCGACGACCTGGCCAAAGGCGCTAACGCCGCGGTCCGTCCGGCCGCACTTTGAGTACTCGCACGAGGCAAAGTCGACCTCGTCGGGCCCCCGCTCCGGGAACACCAAACAGGTCTTGACCAGGGCCTTCCAAAGCTCCTCCTCGATGGTGGGCAGCTTGCCGTTGGCCTGATACTCGAAGCCGTTGTAGTTGCCTCCCAGGTAAGCCAGCTTGAGCGCTATGAAGCGCGTCGAGTAGTTTGACGGGTCCGCGAACTTGCGCTTCTTGGGCGGGGGTGCCCGTGCCTGCCCTTGCCGCTCTTGGGTGGGAAGCGAGGCAGAGGCCGCCGAGGAAGCAACCACGGCGGCCGTGTCCTGTCGGCTTTGCTTTTCGAGCTGCTGCTCCAAGAGCTTGATGCGCTGGATCAGGCTGTCCTTGGTCCAGCGATCATAATTGGCCTTTTCGCCGGCCATGATGGTGGTGATGAAGTGGCGCGCCCAGGCGGGGGGTCGAACGGCCAGGAGGCCCAACTTTGGTGTGAGTGCGACGAGGGGTTTGTGCCAGAGCCACTTGTGCGAGACCCTGAACGTTGGCCTCATAACATCCCGAAAAAGCCTTGCAGGGCTGTCAGGGTCACCGCAAGCCACCTGGCTCACAAATTTCCGGTTTCTTTTTGTCTCTCGGAGTCGGATGCCCGCTACATCCCGAGGTCGCTTTCAAGTGGCAGGCAAAAAATAAATTGCTTGTCATTCTCTGGATGTCACACTGGCATCGTTATCGATAACAACGCGCATCCCCAAGCCAGCGCCCCGGCCTGACATGCGCTATTTAGGTAATCGGGTATCCCACGCCCCTGAACTGGGTTCATGTCTGCTCGATAAGAAGCGCCTGGGTTCCATCTCCCTGAGAATCATTCTGCCTCGCCCGAGGACTTTGAAACTGCGTGCTCCTAATCGTCCGGGGCCTGATTCCCACCATATCCTGCCGTCGACACCGGGCAACCAACATGGAAGAGCACAACATCACGATACTGCTGCTTGGAGACAAGAATGTCGGGAAATCTACCTTCCTCTCGTATGTTGCTCACCGTGTTCAAATTATGGCATCCGGGTTTCCCTGCCTCATACACGCTTTGCAGTATCTTCTAATGACTCCCTTTTTGCCTCCCATAAGACGCATTAGCCAGGGGAAGGATAGGCTGCGGGGGAGGGCTGACATCACCCTCCTGCGCGACTCGGACCAGCCCTTCCTTTTCGAGTTGCGATCTAGAAAAGGCCTCTATAAGGTAGAGCTACACGACACATCGGCTCCCCACGACTGGCACATCCTCCGCCCAGATGTTGTCGTCATATGCTACGACATCAGCCAACGCCTTAGCCTCATCAATATGCAGAGGGTGGTGAGTCGTTGTTGGCCACATATTTTCCGCTTGCCAAATGTGTCTGCCATGATGCCGAACCAGAGAGGCAAGGAGGGGACAAAGTCGGGCGCTGACAACTATCCCCATCTCTTCCGCACCCTATCCAACAGTGGATCAAAGAGGTGAGGTCGACGTTACCCGATGCGGACTCCCTCCCGATCCTCGTACTGGGCCTCAAGCGGGACCTGAGGTCGGAAGACGATCCAAACGGTATCATATACCCACAGGAGGGGCACAGGATCGCACAGGAGATGAGGGCGGACAATTATATGGAGTGCTCGGCCGTGACAGGTGAGCTGCTGAGCGAGGCGTTCGAGGACGTCTTCAAGGCCGCGGTCAAGACGACGACAGACGAGGGAGGACAGAGCGAGGGAGGATGCGGCATAATGTGAACGGACAGAAGTAGCGACGCCCTATGCTCCCTGTCCGTTCTCGATGGAGTCGGCGATCGGCTCCTCTCCCTCTTCGCCTCCATCCTCACCGCCGGCACGCGGGAAGGGGCCCAGGACTTGGACGACGATGTCGAGCATGCGGGACTGCTGGTCGGCCGAGTAGCGTTCGGCCATCTCCTCAACGCACACGTACAGGCCTGGCAGCTCGGTGGGGCGCAGGTTGACGATCATGAGCACCTCGCCCTTGGAGAGACCAAACTCGGCGAGCCGCTCGACCAGGGAGGCGATGCTGTCCTGGTCATACGTGGGTGGCTGCTGACTGAGAGGGTTTGGGTATGTTTGGAAATATTGCATCACCTTTTTGTTTGGATCCAAAGCGATAACTCGCGTCAGCTCTCTTGTTCCTGGTAGCCAAGTCAGCAGGACTGTAGAGTCGAGTTTTACGCACATCTTTGGTCACAATCTGGTAGTTTTTGGGGGGGCGGCGGTGCTCCTTTTTCTGCCGCTCAGCGAAGCGAGCCTTGGATTCGACGAGGTGGGTATAGACCTCATAGTTACTAAGGACGGCGTTTTGCGACTCAAGGATCTTCATGGTTGCGTGCGATGTTGGTTTGGCGGAGAGTATTGAAAGTCACCAGCGAGGAAGCAGGAGCGAAATGAAGCTTTTCTGACAGGTGCCCAGACGTGCATCACCAAGTGGACTTTGAGAGAAGAAAAAAAGCCGGCGTCATCAATGGATGGAGCACCCACCAGGCACCCCCACCTGTGCCACGGGCCGCTGCAAGAACAGCACTAGCGCAGGTCGCCCAATGGAAAGCGTGCGGTGCAACGAACAAGCACAACAAGATTGGGTGAAAGAGGACATACTAGTGAAAGACAGGAGGAACAGAATATGAAAACAAGAATAATACAAAAAAACAGGAAGAGGACAGAGCAAATAGCATCAAGACAAACCTCGAGTTTGCGGGTTTTAACTCGCCTTCAAAAGTACCTACTGAATGCTCCCCGCACGGCCAATCACATGCCACGTCCCACATGTAACCCCGGATCAGAGGGGCAGTTTCAATGGCAAACAAAATTTTCTTCCTCGTCGAATTTTAGCCTCCTGGGCTGGGAGCCACCCGGCAGGCGAGACGAGCCTCTCCCCCGCTGGACGGCTTCTGCCTCTCCAAATGAATGACTTGTCTGACTGACTCCATCCCTCGTTCGCCCCGATGCAAACCAGAGTCGAGCCTTTTTTCTGTCATACTTTTCCTACCACCTCCTTGCTCCCCCAAAACCATCCAGCACAATGCTTCCTCTCTAACACGCGACACAAAGACAAGAGTGTCTGCTCCTCTTGGTCTCTCTCCCTTCCTCTTCCTCCCTCTCCCGCCATCACACATCACATCAGCCCTACAGTACTGCCCGCACACCTCGGCGTCAGCCGAGCTCGCCAGTGTTTCGGCCGTCGCCTCACGACTCGAGAGAAAATTTCGAGTGCCACAAGGCAGCGCGAGATCGGCTCGACCCGCTTAGGAGACCAGACAAATTAACGGAGAAAGAATAGACGGCAACGCCAAAGCGAACAGCAATTGGCACCGCAAAACCCTCCGCAGAGCCCTGCTCCAAAGCAGATCCATCTGCTCGACCTCTGTTCCTTTGCCCGGGCTCGACCAAGAAGCCGGATCCAGTCAGAGCCTCTGACGAGCCGCCCTGGCTTCACCGACGCCGCCCGCTCCGCTCTCGCACGCCGCCCCGACGCGGAGCTGCTTCTCCAAATCCCAATTTTTTTTTCCCTCCCTTCCTCCTTTTCGCTTCCCTGTTCGCCCCAGTGGCTCAGACACACCACCACCAACGTTTGCCAAGCGCGATCCAAGTGCCGTTCGACCGAGGCTATCTCGCGTCGACACCACTGCCCACCCTTCTCGCTACCACCCTGACCTACTCGCTTGTCAAGCGCAGGTCGCGCCGATCTCATAACCATGGTTCGTAACATCGTCGTCCTCGGTGGAAACTCCCACCCGCAGCTGGTCGACGAAGTCTGCGGCATCCTCGGCATTCCTCCCTGCAACCGCATCCTGTCCAAGTTCGAGGTCGGCGAGAGTCGCTGCGAGATTAAGGACTCGGTCCGCGGCAAAGATGTCTATATCATCCAGTCCGGAGGCGGCAAGATCAACGACCACTTCATTGAGCTCTGTATCAGTGCGTGCTCCCTGCCCGCGCCCTCCCCATTGCTCTTCCCTGTAGCGGAGAGGTCTGACTTGTGTGCACAGTGATCTCCGCCTGCAAGACTGGGTAAGCTGCTATCCGTGACCTCGCTATGTCTCGTGCCCGCCGACAGACTGGCTGACTTGCCCGTTCTTATGTGCAGATCTGCGAAACGTGTGACTGCTGTTCTGCCCTTGTTTCCCTACTCCCGCCAGCCCGACCTCCCGTACAACAAGTCAGGCGCGCCTCTGTCGAAATCTACTACCGACCCTGGCAAGAAGGAATACACGTTCGAGAGCGTCCCGCCCACCCCCGCACCTGGTATCCCCAAGACAGCCGGGCTCACCAACGGTGTCGACATTACCCACATGCTGCGGGAAAGCTCATACACCAACGGCAACGGCCCGGCGTCCCCGAGGCCCACAGCAGCTTCTGCAGACAATTATTTTGCAAAGCAGGACACAAACGGCGCCAACGGCCGGGCCCCCAACCATCACGCTCCAAACTCTTCAACTTCGTCCATCGCTCGGGCCTACACCACCCACGACTACGAGAACCCCTCCTTCATCAACCACTTCCAGGCTCGCCCCGGCTACAAGCAATGGGTGGCCCAAGCCGGCACCCTGGTCGCCAATCTGCTCAGCTGTGCCGGCGCCGACGGCATCATCACCCTGGAGCTTCACGACCACCAATACCAAGGATTCTTCGACATTCCCGTTGACAACCTGTACGGGAAGCCGCTGCTCCAGCGCTACATAGCATCCAACATCCCCAACTTTAAGGAGGCCGTCATAGTCAGCCCAGATGCCGGCGGAGCCAAGAGGGCAACAGCTATCGCCGACAGCCTGGGCATGGACTTCGCCCTGATCCACAAGGAGCGTCGGGGGACAAAGATCTCCGAGACCCAGACCGCGACCATGATGCTAGTCGGTAACGTGACGGGCAGGGTGTGCATCTTGGTGGACGACCTGTGCGACACGGGCAACACCATCACGCGCGCCGCCAAGCTGCTCAAGAACCGCGGCGCCACGTACATTTACGCCTTGCTAACGCACGGCGTAATGAGCGGCGAGGCGATTCCTAGAATCAACGCCTCCGCCATCGACAAGGTGATCGTGACGAACTCGGTTCCACAGGCCCAGCACAAGGCCTTGTGCCCCAAGCTTGAGGTTCTGTCGATATCTCCCGTCTTCGCCGAGGCCATCCGCCGTGTGCACCACGGCGAGTCGATCAGCGTCTTGTTTCATAACTGAAATACCCCAACTACCTCGATGCCCTTCACAGGCCTCATCGATCCCTATGGGGCGTACGATTTCACTCTCCGCACCCCTTCTCCTCCTCTTCCCAAGGTCTCGCACTGCATCAGAAAAACCGCATACACTCTTAGCGGCGTTTTGAACTGGCTGTTGTTTCCTGCTTCCTCTGGCTTGGTTTCATTTTTTTGAAAAGTGGCGGTTTAATGCTGCCCCGAAAACAAGAAAAAAGGCCGTATTCTCGCATTTGTTGCATTTTTGGGAGGAAACAGTCCGGGATTTGTGGATCGTCCTTTTTGGTCTTTTTTGCAGCGTCACACGGCGAGGCCAGCCCGCAGCGGTCGTTGGACTACCTTTCCTCGCTGTTTCATGACCTTGCTCTGGAGTTGGTTTCATAACTGCCTAGAGCTGCCGGTATAGAGGAGGTACCTTGTTTTTGCTTGTTTCCCCTGTTTCCTCTTTCCTGTCGTCTGTCCTTATCCGCCGCGAACGAACGAAAGCTCCCCTGGATGGATACCTAGAAATGGCCCCAGCAGCCTGCTATAGGTGCGTATGAACCGAAACGAGACGACGCCGTCGATAACACCAAATGACCAAATGGCCCCAACACGAGGTCCCCCGGCAAAGTGGTTTGCCAGATCCCACCGACGACCGCGCTGTCTCGGGACACGCCAACCCTCGAGTGCGTCTGCAGTTAATCCTTTGGAGTTCGAATCGGACGTCCCACGCCGGCTGAGGAAGGGGTTTCAAAAGGGACAGGCAGCCGGTCTTGCCCGATGGCAGCCAAGCGAGTAGCCGTCTCGGGACGGGCAAAAAGCCCGCGCCCTGCTTTTGCTATACATACGTAAAATCGCATGCTTATCTCCCCATGTCTCGAAATCTACGCACGTAGACCCGGGACGGAGTCGTAGGAGTGAAATCATTTTCCGAGGTGAGGGCCATCTCTCCCTCTCTCTCTCACTATCTAGCCGAGAGCGGCATAAATTGCTTTCTCGTCGTGTTTCGATGGAATGGGGGTTTGTTTGGCTTTGTATGAACGGGAAAGGAGGCTGGTTGATTACAGTCTGAAAAAGAAAAGACACATGACCAGATATCTCACCTATCAGTCGTGATATGTTGTGAGCTCAACGGCTATGCTGAATAACGGCATCCGTTCAAACAATCCAGGTTCAAATTGCCGTCACGCCAGGCGCTGACTTTTACTTGATCGTCGTGCTCAACTCTTTGTTGCTTTGCACAACTAGGTAGGTACCTGTAGATGGACAACCACCAAGCGCAACCAGCCCAGGTCACATAGCTAGGTACGTACATAGAATGGATAAGCTATCTTCATCGATATGCATCGCCGATATCGTGAAAGGGATACGCCGAAGGAATCTGTGTGCACTATGGTTCCGTTTTCCCATCGCTCCTTGGCTCTGAGATGTTATCCACCTATTTCTTCTCATCTTGGGCCCGCTGATGACGTGAAGACATGCTGCTTCTCTATCCCCCCATACACACAAGTCCAATCTCACACTTCACGCGTACCTCTCTTTACGAGTACGCACACGGCAATCGCTGCCGAGGCTTCCTCTCAAATATCTCACTAGACAAAAGAGCCCTCCGGGTTGGCTGTGCGGTTCAGATCTTCAGGCACCCTCCAACCGTGCGACTGCGCCGCGCGCCTGTACGCCTCGATTGCCTCGTGAACGCCGTAGTCTGTGGTGCCGTAGAGGTAGGCCTTAGCTAGACGCGCTGGCGGCTCCGTCGATGTGATGGCAAATCGCACCTGGACCAGGACGCTCTCTATACTGCAGGCGGCGCTCCAGCCATCCGACGTGAGCAGCTGCATGCACATAGCGCCACCCGCCGTAACATGACCACCTCCTCCATTCAGGAACGGCAAGAACCGTGGGCGAATGACGCGAACGAATGGCGGCGAGAACGGGAAGGATTCACCAAAGCGTAGCTCTAGCACTACCGACTGGACGCCATGCTTATCCATATCATGGCCTAGGGGGGTGTTCTTGTCGAAGCTGTGCAGTTCCACCACCAACTGGAACATGTTTTCCATGTTGTCAAAGTCGATGAACCATCCCAGATCGTGGGGAGGCGTAGACTGCTGGATCTGCCTCAGGATCATGATCTGTCTCGACAGGTGCTTGCCGGCGCTGCCTGCATTCTGCGGCGGTTGCAGGCGTGGCAGAGAGCTCAAGTCCAGGGCCCCGGCTCGGAAGTCTGTGAGGTTCGCAGGGCGCGGAGGAGGAGGTGGGCTAATCTCCTGCACGCTGCTGTCATTATCATCGCTGGAAATGACAATGATGTCGTCCTCGTCGTCGGCGTCATCGTCGCCCAAGAAGGCCTTGTCAGCCTGATCCTCCTCATCCGACTCGTCTCGCGCCTGCACTGTAGGAGCTGCCTGTTGTCGTTGTCCCTGATCGATAGTCCTTGAAGACGGGATGGCGGCGAGGGGAATCTTCAGCGCCTGGTTGCCAGGCCCAAAAACACACATCGCGGGGTCCTGGATGACGAAGCGAGATATGGGGTCGTGGGATGCGGCTGATGGATAATTGGCTATGCCCGGGTTGTTAAATTGCGAGTGAGGGTGGATTTTGGAAACGAAGAGATAGCGGCACTGTTGCCAGTCAACGTTCTGGACCACCAGGTGCGGATGGCGGCTCTGGAAGCGGTCGGGGATATTCACAAGCTCGCTGAGGGCAATGGCTGTGGTTATGTCGAGCTGGGACGAAGACCAGTTGCTCGAAGCACTGATGAGGCCATATCCTATGCTGGTGTGGAAATTCTGACTAAAGTAAACGCCGTGGCCGTAGGCCCGGCCGTTGGCTGTGTCTTTATAGTCGAGCCCCGTCCGGATTATGCTGTGCCAGTTGACGATGGAACTTCCATGCCATGCGAAGATGGTCGGGTACACAAGATTCTCGTCCTCGACTGCACGTTCCAGCTCCTTGTTGAAGCGTTCCTCCTTATCTGGAGAGCCCTGGGCGAACCGAAACTGCAGGAAGTTGTCCATATCTGGCACTTTCTCACCCCCCGGTCTCTTGGGCTGTCCTATGGCAACGGCCGCAGCCGCAGGCGGTGGCAAAGGAGCTGCTGGTGGCCCGCCATTAGGTCCTGAGACGGGAGCCATTGGCGGCTGATTGTGGGATTGAGGAGGCTGAGGGGCCACGACTGCTTCGGGCTCTGCTTCGTCCTTGTCCTCGATCTGCAGGATGACAGACCGGTTCGTGGCCACGATCCACTCTAGGAGAGTCATGGCTGCTGGCGGCACATTCGGCATGCCGCGCACCCGGCTGTTCGTGTTCTTGCTCAAGAAGTGCTTGATGGTAGGGATGGGTGGCAGTGTGTTGAGAATGAAGCGGATCGCCCTTGCCTTTCCGGCATCATGCAAGCTATCGAAATCGACATTGAAGAGAGCAATGTGCGTGCCCCCGTTTTGGAGAGGTGTGTTTTGGTGTTGAGAGGGATCCTTCAGCTGACCCGTTCGGCCGCCAACCAAGAACGTCAACTTGCCATCGGCAGGGTCAGTGCTAATGATGATGCCAAATGTCAAGCCGGTGTGATTTTCTTGAGCAACCGCGTGTTGGTAGCTGGGATCCAGGGTGGCGGTGTGTGGGGCTGGTCGGGTGTATGGCCCAAACGTCTTGGACTCCTCCTGCGTCAACAACGCACCTCCCTCCTTCAAGTAGGTGCTGGGTAGCAGCACAAACCACCTCCCTGGCCGCAGGTCCTCGGGCCAGTCGCTCCGGTTATAGAGCGTAGCTGTCGCGGACGAGACGTCCACATGAACCGGGATGCAATCCGGAGCTCGTTGATGCCATGGCGCGTGAAATATGTCTGGGACATTGAGCGACAGTCCGACTGGGAACTCGCGAATGGCGAACTTCTGGGCGTCGAAGCTGGCAGGTCGGACTACTGGCTGGGCGCTGACGTAGCAGAAGCTGACTAGGAGGTCGACCACGGTTGGCTGAAGCATGATCTCATGCTCGATGCTGGGCCCAAGCCCCATCTGCATATACTGGAATAGGCAGAGGGAGTTGCTGCAGACGAAGGGCTTGAGAGACCCGAAGCCGCTCTCGATGGCGCGGTGGCATCGGAGGCAATACTTGGTGCAGTCCACCAAGTACAGCATCGCGAACTGCCAACTGATTAGCAGAACGCTCTTCTCGTTGTCATCGTCGGCGAGATGGTCGTTCAGGTCTTTTGATGTCCCCTTGCTCTTACGAGAGCGCTTGGGGGGAGGACCACCGGATTCTTCGGTGCTGCCTATGCGGTCAAGCAGGCGGCTGTTGGCATCGTCCCACGACATGCCGCCGCCCGCCTCGCCCCGGATCTTGAGCAAAGATATGAAGTACTGGCTCATGTAGAGATCCAGTGATCGTGAAAGGAAGATGCGGTCGAGTGGTGGCGCTGCATCCTGTGCCTCGTCGTCTCCACTCTGGGGCCCCCAGTTGTTGCGCTCGTCGAAGGCATTGATAGCTTGGGACAGCGTCGGCTTGTACTTGGCGCACTTTGCGATGCGGAACTTCATCTCGTTCATGCAGGCTGGCCGTTCCATGATATGCTCAAGGAACGGGAATCCGCCCTGATACTGGATCAAGAGAACGATGTAGTCCGAATTAGACAGCCCCCAAGCCCCGAGGGCCTCTTCCGAGAGGCGCAGATTGCGAATACGGGTGGATATCGAGACGATGTTGGTGGTCGAATTGGGCATCATGCCGCTTATTATACCAACTCGGCCGCCGGCGTCTCTAACCTTGCGCAGGCTGCGCTTGATGCGCGCATATATCGCCTTGTCAGGCTCGGACAGTATAGCCACCCGATGAGAATCCGTTGCCGGTTGCCCGTCCATAAGAGCATTCAGATGATCTAGATCTTCGCCTTCGTGATCTTGGGCGTCATCACCGTCGTCCGACTCGAAGCTGAGGCCATTATCCTCGTCATCTCCGTCCAGAGACTCGAGATCGGCATCGACGTCGGTCATCTGTGATTCGTCGAGACGCCTGGTCAGGGTCCTCGCCAGCAAACAAGCGGCCTGCAGTACCGTGAAGCTGGTAGCGGATGCCGCATGATCTTGAACTTCCTCCATCGCCTGCAAGATCTGCTTTGGGGGATCGTCGCAGTCGGTGAAGAGAAGAAACCCACAAGGGCCAGGGTAGTCGTCCACATTGGTCGCGAGCAAGCGGACCTGCAAAGGAGAGGCGAGGCCGTCGCCGACGTAGGTCATCACGACCTCTCCATCGTCGCCTTTCTCGACTGAGGTGACATTGTCGATGCGGCCTGCTAGAGCCTCTGCGGCAGCCAACGCGGCGTCGGCTCGGAATTTCCGTGCCGTCATCTCTGCGGCGATGGTGGTGGTAAGTGCGAGGTGAACGCGAAGACAAGCGGGGTGAAGGAAGGGAATGGCGCGACGAAGTGGTGTCGCCGAGACGCTGTGGCTGGATCAGCTGTCCATAGGAGTTGCCCGGGGTAGTCAATAGGTGGACACCCAGGTCGATATCGGCGTCTGCCAGGTAAGATGTCCTATTGGGGGAGGCTCTGTCGGGCTGAAAAGCAAGCGAAAAAGCGAGCGGATGGGTGTGATTGATGGGGCCAATGCCAGACGATGACGCAGGCGATGAGACGACAGCCCTGGTTTCGTCTAGCACCGTGCTCTTTCTGGATGCCACTCTGGTGCCCTAGAGAACTTGCTTCTTGGTGCCTGGGTCAAGCCTAGGAAATGTAGGTGGTTTGTGGTTGTGCGTGACTGCAGCCTGGGGCGCAATCAGCTCCTCCCTTTGAGCAGCGGTGGGCCAGGCCAGCTGTGGACTGGGACGTACGGAGAAGCTTCAGGGGCTGAGAGGAGGGAAAGGCCCAACAGGTTGGGAAGGTGCGTTGTGAGGAAGGAGCTCGGGGAGGTGCAGCCTCAATTCCGTGACGTGGGTGCACACAGCAACAGCTTACAGCGACAACACGTTTGTGGCACCACAGAGCACGGCCTTTTGTGCGGGGTCGTGGTGGTATCTCCCGCTCGGCAACCAACAGACAGATAGGCAGCCACAGGGCAGCGAGCAGATGGGACCAAATGTGTGGTCTTGGGATGGAGTCAAAGAGTGGGTGTATGGGGGAATAGCTAAATCGGCCTGCGACGAGAAACAGATGGTCCTGGACTAGGTAGGTAGGTAGGTGAGGGAGGAAGCTTCGCGAATGGTGACGCCTTAGACATGTGCATACCACCAGTATGGTGTCCAATCGGGTGACTGCTCTGGTTGGACGTGTCATCCAAAGCACTAAAGGAACCGAATCAAACAGCATTGGCACAGAAACGGGCAAGCTCAAGGCGTTATGCGGCAAACAAAAGGATACCCAAGCGCCTTCGTGGGAGAAGAAGCAACTTGCTGAGGGCAGGCCTTGCAGCCACCAAAGGCCAATCGCATCGCAGAGCCGGAGGAGAATGAGCTGTGGAGTTCAACCAACTTGGCTTAGCTCGGTGAGAAGAGAATGGAGTAAGGCTGTGTTGTGTTGCCTTCTATCAGTTGGGCTTCTAGGCCAACTTTTGAGGCTCCCTAGCTCGTCTGCAGGCTAGATGCGTTGCAACACCGAGAGGTCATCGCATGCACTCCCAGCTATAGATGTGTGGGTCGGGTCTCGAATGGACAAGAAGGGGGCTGAAGCATCTGGCTGACAATCGAGGCAGGGCGACTCTCCAGCTCGGGGAGAACGGAACACGTCGGTCTTCCCCCAGCTTGGGAGGAAGCACTAGCCTGGCAAATCCATTATTGACCACCATGGATCTCACAGGCGCAGTTTACAAGTTTTTAATGAGGCGTCCAAGGAGAGTCTTTTATACGTCGTTGGCAGAAGGTGGATACCTCTTCCTTCCTGAACGCAGCTTTTGATAGGACAAATCTTCCAGCTGAGCCGTTCCTCCAGCCCCACGCCCCCACACCTCCCCTAATCTGGTATCCTTGTCCTGGATGTCATGATGAGGGTTGGAGCGGACATCGATCCGTGAGTGTATTGCTTAACCAACCCCATACCCGCCGTCTTTCAAAGCGCCCATGGCCTGGGATTCCAAAACAAGGAACCGCGGGAGCAGCAGCGCCTCGGGCGCCGCCCGGGGGGTCCTCCCCCTGCACCCCAAACAGGCCAAACAAGCCACAATCCAGCCCAATTCCGCTCACGTGGCCGACCCCTTTCTGGAGGACTTCCTCGATCCGTCGTCCTTCGACCCCGTGGCCTATCTCAACTCGGTGCTGCCCCCGCTGCAGCCCAGCACCGGCAGCAGCGGCGGCAGCGGCGGACGCTCCTCAGCGACGGGCCGCGGCGGGGGGAGCCAGCAGCAGCAGCCGGTCACGCTGGCCGAGCTGTCGGCCCAGGCCCAGACCCAGGTGTCGCAGCTCAACGCGCACACCACCAGGCTAGCCAACACGCTCACCCAACTGACTGACGAGATACTGCGTAGCGGCAGCCGCCTCGCCTACGAGGTCGAGCTCCTGCGCGGCGAGACCCTCGGCCTCGCCGAGACCCTGGCTGAGGGCCTGCAGGACGACATTGCCAAGTTCGTTCCGGGAGGCATCGCGGCCCATCAGCAGCAGCAGCAGCAGCAGCAGCAGCAACAACAGCAGGCCCGCCCCAAGTCTTCAGGAGGCGTTTCTGCCGGTGCGGAGCCTCAGCCTTCCGAGGGCCCACCGGGAACACCGGCTACAGCGACGGCAGGCGACGCGACGGCGACAGCAACAGCCGCGCCGGACGCCGGCCCGCAGCGGCCGCCGGAGCCGCCCTACATCGCGCGGCTGCGCACGCTGACGTTGGTGCGCGCGCGCCTCGACTCGGTCATCAAGACGTTCGGCGAGGCCATGGAGTTCGTGTTCCCGCCGTCAGAGGTCTCGGTCAGCTCCTCGTTCCTGTCCGTCTCAGCCCCGGACCCGGGCAAGGAGGCCCACAGCACTGAGGAGAAGGGCCAGCAGGTGCTCAAGAGGCTCCGCGACGAGATCTCGTCCCTGCTCGCGACTTCCGACGGCCAGGGGCACGCCGGCGGCGCGGACCCCACCAAGGGCATCGAGGACGCCGCCCGCCGCATAGAGGAGCTCAAGGAGCTCAACAAGGTGTGGCGGGGCACCGCCGAGGAGAAGGGCCGCGCCAAGTTCATCGAGGGTCTCGCCAAGCTCGTCGAGGACAGGCATCGGGACCTCCTCCGAGAGATGGACGCGGCCAAGCGGGACGGCGCCGCGTCGTCTTCGGCCGCGGACGGCTCTGCTTCTGGGGCCCTCAAGAAGTCTCAAGCCGCTGGCGGCGATCCCTCGCCGGCCGAGTCCAGAGGCTACGGTGGCGGCTATGGGTTTATAAGCCAGTTACAGAAGATACGGAGTGGGCTCTGAGAGGGGGGGCTATTATCGATTGCGAATTTATTGTTCAATATCCTTCATCAAATACCATGATCTTGGCGTGGCACTGCAAGTCCTCATAATGGCTACCAAGTTCATCAAGAGCCGCCCTTGATATCTTACGTCCATTACCTTCACTCTGGGGGCAGCCATGACAGGTAGCCAGATGTGGCATAGTGACCGTCTTAGGCTGATGCAGGGTGAAAAAGCAACTATCTGGGATGTAGATGACAGCTGCCAATTACCTAACGTATTTGTTACATGGACCAATGGGAAGGCCACGGCATTCCAAGCCGCATCATCTATCACTACTGTCCAATAATTTGCACTGATGGGTTGTCGTCAAGAGTCTTGTGGGCACATTTCGCCTGTCAAAGAGTTATCTTCTGCCCCTATATAGAAGCTGATCTAGTCGGGCGGATTTTATAGCTCGCTCACACTCTGGCAAGTTGCCTACCTGTTTATTTTTCCTCCTTTACTTTGTGCAACCCGGTGCGGAATACTTGCAGATTGCACAGACCATATGTGACGGAACATGGATGAGATATATCCAGACCGCAAACGTCTGATCATGGTGCGATACCTCTTGGTAATTAGTGGCAGCCCGGCCAATGCTGGGTGATGTGTCTATGGGTAGATTTATGCGTCGTTGATAGGAGAATAAAATGTGCAAAATCAGTTTACCGCCCTGCAAGGTTTTTTTTTTTTTTTGCGTTCAAGACTTCGCGCTCCCAAAAAAAAAAAAAAAAAAGCAAGATAGTGCCGCGTGATAGCACGGAAAGAAGGGGGAGTGAGAACCAAAAGAAAGGGCGCGCCGGACGCTCGCCCTTTATTTTATCTCTTCATCGTGGAGCGATTCAGTGCCTCCTGGAGCTCGGGCCTCTCCTTGAGCGACTCCCAAGCCTCGACGAAGGTCATCCATTGACGCTGACGCTTGTCTTTCTCGGGCCACTCCTGCTCCTCGCTCGTCACGGTTGCTTCGTAGAAGTGGTACACGGCCTTTTCGCACTTGCCGCTTTTTGTCTTTGAAGACAGCTTGGGCGCCCTCAACTCCTCGATCTGGCCAAGATCGTAGTCGATGGTGACGACGATCCCGGCCTCCTCCCAGGCCTCCCTCTCGGCGGCTTCGGTGCACTCCTCGTCCGTCTCCCAGCCTCCCTTGGGCAGGACCCAGCCTTTCCTCCGGGTCGACTGTGTCAGGAGCACATACTGCTTGTCTGCTGAGAGAGCGACGACCCCGGCAACCAGCCGCTCGCCTTTGGTGTTGTAGCCTGGCAGAGAGGAAAGGACAAAGGGTGCAACAGGTCAGTTGATTGGCCCCGGGGCCCACCTCGTGCCTCCCAGCAGAGAGATATTACTCACGCTGCTTGCTCCTCCCGGTGCGGGATTGCATGGTCCGACTGCTGCTATTACTGCTTCCCGAAGCAGCCATCTTGTAGTGTGACAAAAGGGCGAGGACGTGCTCGGCAGTGGTGGATGTGGTAGTGGTGATGACAAGGGTGGTGGGTTGGCAGTCCCCACCGAGCCGGAAGAAAAAACCTGGTGGAGCCGAAAGGTGTTCTTGGGCGGGAAATAAGATGCCTTTTTTCTTCCTTTCTTTTGGGAAGACAGCGGTTTGGGTACGGGTGGGTGGGTGGGTTGCTGGACAGCCCAGGGCACACGGCTGTTGACGTTTAAGGGCGTATGGACGGCATGGTGACAGGTCTTCGATGGGTTCGAGGATCTAACGGGGTGCTCCTCCTTTTTGGCTTGTCCTTATTCCCCAATAGGCAGACAGTCACGCGGGGGTGAAGCCTGAGGGAGTCTGAGGCTGATTCTGTGTGGGTGATAGGCTGATGGGCGTGGGTGCCAAAAGTCTGCTGGGAGGAAGTGGCAGAGATTTATAAAAAAATAAAAATAAAAATAAAAAACACAACGGCAGTGGGCCGGTCAAAGGCGTGCGCAGGTGGCGGTCGGAAGGTGGGAGGGGGCGAGGTTGTGGGCAGGAGCGGCGGAGGGCACGCCGTGCTTCGACTGCGCGTCTGGCAGATGGCCAGACAGAGGCGTCGCGAAGATTAAATGGTGGGTTGTGGAAGGCAGCGGCGCGCCAAGGAAACCTGAAGCTGGGAACTAAAGGAAGAGTCAGGGCCTGACAGTGGCAGGAGGGCAGGGAGCTAAAATAAAATAAAAATAAAAAAGTCAGGCAATGCGAACCGACCGTAAGACCGGTGGGGGTGGAGATTGAGGGAGGAAGTGAGGTAAGGTTAAAACACGCCCCCCGGCAGTCTCAGCGAGTTGGTTGACTCTCGAAAAGAGGGCAGAGGGAAAGCACCGCTATGCCGACCCAAAGAATAACGAGAAAAATATATACCAAGTAGAAAGATGGAAAAAGAAGGGGGACTTTTAACAACCACAAGGCAGAGGAGGCAGAGGCCTCATCAATGCATCAAGGGGAATGACCAAGAGCGCCGGTCAGAAGGAAGCGAACCAAGATGGTTGGAGGTGGATGGCCAGTCTGATGGTGGATTCGCACTAGCCTGCTGTAGGCAGGCGGACGGACCGCTAAGGTTTGTGAGGCGCTCCAGTGCCTCAGGTACCAACATAGGGGACATACAGCCAGCACGCGTAGAGCGGAGTTGCGTTGAAGGTACCCAGGTACCCATGTCTAGACTCACTGGGGTGGGCGGGATGAGTTTTCTTCCCAGAAGCCTTCTTCTTTTCTCCTCTTCAGCACCCTTGGCTGCCGGTGCCACTTTCGCTCGCCGTGGAGGGAGAGATCGGGGATAAAGAAGGCACAGATCCACAGCTCCACAATTTGCTTGAATAAAATGCTCCATGAAGGATTTGCACAGGAGATAGAAAAATATGGGAGCCAAGGTTGGATAATCGACATGTACCTGTGCTTCTCTCGTTGGCCATCCTGCACAGCAACGCAATAAGATGTATGTGCACCGCACCAGCTGCACCTTCAGACACCGCATTCATCTCGCCTCTAGTGTTCATCCCACAGCCGCAACCACCAAGGCGGCCCGGCCCTATGCAGCCGTCATGAACAACGGGGTTAAACGGAAAGAGAAAGGAATAAATCAAGCCAGGAAATATCCCCGAAGGTTACTCAATGTGTAGCCAGTGCCTGCCGCAGACAGCTGATTATGCGACCTCCTGTTTCTCAGCAACTGGTGGCGCTGGGATGGCCACATGAAGGCAGGGGTGCCGTCCCGGTTGCCGGCAAGGCGTAGGGGCTTCATGGTATTTGGCAAGAGCAGGCGAGGTGGTTTATAGGTACCCAGGTACCTATTATGCTTATAGCTGTTACAGCGAGCAAACGATTGAGAATGCTAAGAGGATGAGTGCATGAGAGAGC